ATTAAAGCAAACCAAGCAAGAGAAAAATATCCAATAATGTCTAATACTACAGCATAAGTGAATTCCGATGGACGACGCAAATATGTGAAGTTCCAAATCAAATTATCAGCTATTATTGAGTAAAGGAATGAACGCCTGCCTCAAAGAGGCAAAAACCAACTAACCGGCCAGCACGTTGGTCAGCTGCAGCCTTAGAGATGGGAACCACGATCAAAGACTCGATTCCAGTGCGAGAACTGTAGAAATTCTGCTTGCAGAAACCAGTGTCAATGACGTAGATTATTCCGTCAATCGTTAACGAGGTCTCGGCAATGTTGGTGGCCAGGACCACTTTTCGGGCACCTAAGGGAGTAGGTGCAAATATTTTGGCCTGAGAAAAGAGAATATGTGTTGTTGGGGTGAAAACAGAAGAGAGAATGCGATTAAATGGATGTTTTGATATTTTTAATATAGCCAAAACGATAGTCTATTAAAGTGATGAAAGTAGTTATCGAATTGTCTTTGCCTTAGCAATTGCACGTATAGAACGTGAAAGATTTATTATCAACGTTATGCCAGTAACATTTGTGGATGGAAGACAGAAAAGAATAATGATAAATAAAAATACAGTGAAAATAATGAAATGAAAAGACTCAAAATAAATAGAGGTAATATAGGATTTATTCACCCTATTTCGTTTGAGGTTACGAGGGACTGGTGGTTAAATTTTCCAGCAATGATATGAGTAGATCTGACGTTACAATTAAACTTCATATAGCTTTGCTTTTCAAAAAGGTGTTCTCATCTAGGCTGAAGTGGACCTCGCCTAGGTCTTATCAACACTCCCAGAGAGACTCGAACCCTGACAGTGCAGCGTGCAACTTCGACACGTTAACTACTACGCAACATTGCCACGAGTGTCCCTGGCAGGTGTAAATTTCAAGGAAGGCCAGGCATTTTCCCATATCACATGCTTTTGTAGGATTGTCGATTAAGAAAAGTTATATTTGCTATGACGATCGACTACAATACTTAGTTTTCGTAGGGTTTCGAAACTACCAGTAAATCAATTAGATCACCTTAAATGA